TTAACCAATTTATCCCTTTGATTCCTGCGTGACACTCACCTTGAGATGTGTTTGGCGTAACCACTAAAAATATTTAAGCTTGTTTTAACATGTGATGTTGATAGAAGCTAACTTTCCTAAGGATTTTGGAACTTGAAAACCATTGGGATATCCGGTCCTTCTTCAAAGCCACTTGAGAAGATTGATCTTCCAGTCGGTGGATGCGCTGTAGACAAGCAGCCGGCCCCGCTGCAGCTGGGGGCTCGCTCCTGCTCACGGGCTGTGCGCGGCGCCTGCTGCACTCTTTCTTCACTAACCTGGGTGGGAGACGGAGTCTTCGGCTCTGCCATGTTTCTGAGCTTCTCAGACACGACCAAAGGTCCCGTTCTGATTTAATGAATCGCATGTATGGCAGTGAATCATTCTGGCAATACTTCTGACGGTACTGTCAGTGTAACTGAAAATATCTAGCTTGGTGGCACACAACTAAATGAGTAGAAATTAATAGCTGCAGCATGTCAGAACACGCACTAGCATTTAAATCAAAGACTAGGGGCGCAGAGGTGTTGGAGGAAGTATCTTCTTCATTTACATCTGCTCAAATAGAAAAGGCCAGCCATAACCCAAGGGACCAAATTAGTTTCAAAAGTTTTACTACATCCTTTCCAAAAGTCCTCAAAGCGGAACTTGTGTAGCAACTTCTAAAAAGAAATAGGGAAGTCTATATCGGCAACATGCATTTTAAACAGCAGCACATCACCAAGGAGCAAGGTCACACACTAACTACAGCCGGCAAGCAGGATGTTCCTAAGCCTGAGAACAAAAAAGTCTAAAAACCACTAACAGCACAGGTGAATTAACTCAGATTTCTCAACCATATGAAAACAAGACAACATCCAAAGTCAACTATATTTCAAAAAAGATAGGACAAAGAAGGAATTACTACTTCACATACAGGTAACAAACTCATCACCCAAGAAATAAGGGCAAAATGTATAAACAGTATCCATACAGGCGGAGGGAAAACCTAACATTCCCTCACTTGAAAGTTGATGTCAGAAGACAAGTGGCCAGACCCAGGTCTGACCCCAAATGCTGAGGTCCACACTCCTGCAGAACAGATATTGCCGCAGTCCCCCAAGGTCAAAATGATCCTTGCATAAGGTCAAATCAACGGGTTCATTCTGACCTTTACTCAACATTAATCTGCAAACAAAGGAAATACTAAGTACATGTGAAAATAAAACCAGGACAAAATGGAAGGCTGAGCCTCTCCTGAAGCCTCCGTTCAAATACTACTGAAGAAAAAGCCCAAACGGCCAAGAGAATGGGAGAGGGCCCCGAGTTGCCGTGTGAATTTGACAAGTGTATGAAAGCTGAAACGCAGAAGCAATTGGTAGATAGAGAAGTGGGAGCTTCAGCAGCAAGACGAGGAAGCGGGGCTGGAACCGGGGAGACTAAGTAGAGGCTGCCTAGGAGACAGGCCACCCCCACCCCTGTAGGCCACACTGTGCCTACAGCCAGGGCTCTGCTCTCGAAAGCAAGTGTCCGTAGAGAACCAAGGCAGCCAGCCTGGCAGGGGCCCCAGGGCATACCTCCCCTCCACTGGGCACCTCCAGCACCATGACTGGTTTTCTCTTCCTTCCTAAGAATATGGCTGGATGACCAGAAATCACTAGATGTTTGAGGAAAACTACCACTTAAAAAATAAGGAACAGAATAAAGAGAAAACTGAATAAAATTCAACAAACTTAACTCTGGGAATACAACTTTCAAAAGACCTAATACCCTTAGAAAGTCAAGATATTGAATCCATAAGGCCAAGAACTTAAGTTGCTATGAAAAAGGAAGAATTAGAGACAAAGAAAGCTTTTGTTCACACACACAAATAACGAGTTAGAAGACAAAGTTGATTCCACTAGTGCAAGCTTCATGAGGGCAAAGATTTTGTTGTTTTGTTCACTGCTGTATGCTAAGAGTCTACAATAGTGCTTGGCAAATCACAGGTGATGAAAAAGAGAGGGAGAATGAATTTGAGAAAAAATAAAGATAGAAAATATAAGAAATGAATGAGGCAGATATGAACAGTGGCAACAGGAGTTCTGCAAAGGAAGAACAGAAAACAGAAGGGATCAAAGACATTTCGAAACTACATTTTCTAGAGCTGAAGAGACAGGAGTCTTCATTGAAAGTCTCTGCAGAGTGCCAAGCAGGATGAGCCACTAAGGACCCACATTTAGATCCCCCACTGTGTCATCTCAGACACTGCAGGTGAGGAGATGGCCCTCGTGACTGCAGAGAGAGAAAAACCAGAGCACCTGCTACAAAGGGATGAGAACCTGAGGACACTGGAGCTGAGCCTTCCAAGTTCCCAGGGAAAATGATTTTGAGCCCAGAATTCTACTCCAGGCCAAACCAGCAATCAAATAAATGGGCAAAAGTAACAACACTCTCATATATGCTACGGGACTCTGAAAGCTCACCTCCAGGGCACCCTTCCTGAAAACGTACTCCCGTAAAATGAGGGTAAAAAGCAAGACAGGAAGATGTGAGACTCGGGAAGGTATGGAATTAACCCAAGTGTCCAACAACAACAAATCTCAGTACCTAGAAAGTAATCACTACAAATTACATCGGGCAATCAATGAGCTCTAAGCAGAATATCTTCAGAAGAATGGAAGCAGATTCTAAGCGAAGGAGAGAAAGAAAAAGAAACCGGCATCAGGGGAAAAAAAGTACACAAGTATTTTCTCAACAAGAAAAAAGTGGTTTCAGGAAAAATAGACCTGGTGCGGGGGGGGTACTGCCTAGGAAATAGCCAAAGATGAGCAAGCCAAAATAGGGCATGATCCAGGCAACCGATGGAAGGGTGGGCTTGACGACAGGCACGCTCTCCTCCGAGTGAAGACCCGGCACTGCAGAGTGAGAAAAAACACAGCTGCTGCCACCTTGCTTGCTCAGTCCAGATTTACATAAATCAGAATAATCACACCACTGTTGACTGGTATCCAGTTTTTCTCTCTAGACAGAAAGCACAAACATCTGAATTATGGTCACAGAATGGACCCTCCATGGCATCCGCCTTGCTAATGTGAACGTGAGGGTGTAGCAGAGAAGGAAGAGCTGATGAAAGCTGGGAAGGAGAGGGGGTCGGGAGAGGAGGGGCAGGGGTGTTAATAGCCTCATCTTTCCAAGTGGGGAAGCAAGCGACACCTTTAAGAGTTGATCGAATAAGAAACAGAAGTTTAAATACATAGTTTTAAAAGGTACAGCAGTCGGCAAGAAAGGAATTAAAACAGTGATGTTACTGTTGACAATGGTGATGGGGGGGCGAGGGGACCGGGTGAGCTAAATCCTCATCTACCAAGCCAAGTCAGCACCGGAAACATCTGAGGTTGAAAATCAAGACAAAATGGCATAAGAATATCATTAGAAATAGAGGAGGACCCAGCAAGTGATCTCAGAGTAGAAAAGGTGAGATGCAACCTTTGGAGCACAGGGCCGGGGCAGGGAAGAGCAAGACTAAAGACCCTCCATAACAAGCACTTCTAGACCTTCAGCTCTTAAAGCCTGTGCAGTTATAATTTTGATAAAATATTTTAATGAATTTTAAAAATGAAAATATCAAAGTCAGGCTTACAACTATAATATTAACATATTAGTTAATAGTTTCAAACACTGTTAAGCTTCTAGGTGCTTTATTAGAATGTAGCTTTTAGACCAATGGAGGAGAATTTTATATTTCAGGTATTGTCATTTAATTTAAATTTATATACCATAATTCACCTAATCTAAAACATCACTTTCTCCCATTTTATGTAATTGAAATATTCATTTAATTGGTAGGGTTTTTTTATTACTGGTATATAAATGATGTTGACATTGTCTTGCAATCAATGGTGTCTTAGATTTGATGAAATAGGATATTTGTAGGAAATTATGTGTCTGGGTAATTTTCCCTATGTTACTTTACGAAATCATAGACGGTTACATCTTTTTCTAATACTGTGTCCCTCCCCTCATCATACTCCCACCATATATAGTGGTCTGTGGGCTTTTCCTGAACACCTTAGGGCCGTCGGACCAGCTGTTCCAGAGTCTGGAAAGCTCCCGGCCCCCGCCCACCTGTTCCCCACAGGCTGGCTCCTTCAGGTCACACAATCTCAGCTTAACTGTCACTCCCTTGGAGAAGCCTGCTGACCACCCAATCTAAATCAGCTCTACACATTACCCAGTTTTATTTTCATCAAAGCATTTACCCTGATATCGTCATTTGTTTGTCTCTTTCCTTACTAAAAGCATAGACTCCGGAGAGCAGAGACCTCTCCTACCTTGTTCAATACCATATCCCCAGCCCCAGAATAGAGCCTGACACTGGGTGGGTGCCCAAAGATTTCTAGAATAAACACTTTAGAAAAACAAGCTATGGGCATAATGTCTAATCATTTAGTAAGTATGTTTCAAATTTATAAAGAGTATTTCTTCCCTATTTTTCTATGACAAAGCATCTCATATGTATAATGAATTATTTGTTAGGAAGATCCAATTCTGATTGCTATCCAGTCAAATATAATTTTAGAAATATACTAATAGCATTTACCAAATATAATTTCTATAGCATGAAACAAGTCATACCATCTTTAATTCATTTATACATAGTCCAAATTTACCTATTCTTGACCAGAAATGATATCAAACAGGTGGCAAATAAGGATGAAAACAAAAAGGTTATTTCACAAATTTAAAAGAGTAATTACCCTCAGCTTTTTAAATTTTAAGAGTAGTGGTCTCTCCTGAAGGAGTGATGAAGTTAAAATTACTGTTTATATTTATAATTTTATTACCTACAGCTCAACTAAAAGAGTTAACTCAAATAGTTTATTCGATATCGCAGAACATCTGACAAAAACTACAATGAACAACTGTCAGCTCCCTGAATACTCGCGTTTCCCATGTATGACCGAGGATAAAATGAAAAGGCTGAAATACTGAAAAAGTCTATTTGTCTGCTTTGTTTTTATTCAAAAAAAAGCCCATGATTCTTTGGGAGGAAATACAAGATTGCTTTATAGTCGGATCATAATTTCCATAATCTCTGTAATAACCATAAATTCCAAAGGTTCTGCTCTCCCCATCCCAATTCACCTTTGGCACCTACACAAGAAATGTCACTTCTGACAAAGGGCGGAAAGTGTGCTGAATCCTGGGCTTTTATCACAGTGCTCCTTTCTGATGAAAATGTTTCTGATTGCTGAATTTAGAATACTGATACAGTAAGAAAGATTAACAATATCTCGTCAATGAAAATCTTTTTCTAACTAACAATATGGCTATCTTAGAAAAGACTGATATTAGAAACAGCAGCCAATTCTCAGAAGTAAAGGGGCAATGGCTTATCTTATCTTCCCCCACTTCTTCTAATTTTAGAGGAGGATCGCAGAGCAGTTCTATGAGAGGTAGCAGAAGGTCTGGCATAGGCTCTGGCTTCATGAGTTCAGAAGACAATTTTAACTCATCCCATCTTTCAGGAGAATTTGTGTGATACTTCAAGAAACAAAAGAGGCTCACTCAACCTCTGCATGCAGAGTGACAATGATCAGGAAGACAGATGCATCAGTCACTAGTGGAGAAGGAGGGGCCTAACCCAGGACTGGCAAGTAGGAGAGGACGTAGCCAAAGAACTTAAAAAAAAATCTGATTAGAAAAGTGGGTCATTTATAAAGTGTACTACTCTTGAGTATTCACTTAGTCTAACAAAAAAAGTTCCTACACAAAAATTGGGATGCTACAGGAGAAAAACAGCCAACATGGGCTATAATTGGCCAACACTTAAATATGAAGAAAACAACTCAACTTGCATTTTTCATATGTAAGGAGGATTCATAAGCTTGATAGTGACCTATTTGGCACAATTCAAATTCATTTTTTTAGCTATGCTCCAGATCCACAGGGTATTGCCAAGAAATTTATCCAAAAAATCTGTGGATTTTTCAGTATCATTAGAGCTTAATGGATGTTTCCCATTACCACTGCTACACTGATAACGCTGGGGAGGGGAGGCCTTACTCCACTCTCCTCTTCCAAAACCTAATAAAATAAAACATTTTTATTTCAAAACAAAAGATCTGGGAATGTTATAAAACTAGGAACAAAATAAGATGCTATGACATTACTTTTTCTATGTAATTAACATTCGACTGCTTCCTACCTGTAGCACTACATATACAGTTAAGCTTTTGGGACGGAGGGAAGAAACTCCGAACCCTCCTGACAGAGCAGCCATTCCGTGCATGGACAAGGGCTTATTTCTTCTACCAGCCACCGAGTCGCAGATATTTTCCCCATTTAAAGAAGTATGCAGGAACAAGGCTGGGGAGAGCAGGAAGCACAGCCAAGGAGTCAACTGTAGTCTTCTCTTTACCAACCCAGCCCCTGTGTCCTAAGTGGCAACTGACTTCATCCACCGTCTTGGCATTCACAGTAAGCAACATCTTTCTCTAAAACTTTTCTTGTTCTTGCTGCTTTTCTTGCCATTCTTGTCTTTGTTTTCTGACATCTTCTTTGCTCTGATTTCTCTCATTAGGTCAAAGAACACCTTGGGGTGGGGAGGAAGGGGTGAAAAGAATAGAGAAGAAAAGGCCATTTAATGATTTAATGAAACAATTCAACTAAGCAGGATATGCGATTACATTTCAAAGCATAAAGCCAAATTTATTTTTATAAGCCATATGCCAACAAAAACAAAGGATCTGAGTAAATAAGAATAATTAACTCTAAAAGCATATTCTAATTATACAAAGTAAACACCTCTGCACATATCATACAACTGGCCAAACTACGGACAGAACCATCATAGGGCTACTACTATTCAACAGCTAATTTCAGAATGATAGTCTTTTCTGTGGTAAGTACGATGAAGGGTGAAACATGTGTTTTGCATAGAGCAAATCTACAGCTTTGTGAAATTCACAAATATCGAGAGTGACAATAGCAATCAGATTTTCTAGCATTTCCAACCACCAGAAAAGAATGACAGGAGGATCTGCTACTAGGTGCTCTATACACCTCTGTATCTTACTTAATCCTTACAAAACCCTACAAAGGTTGGAATATCACTGTGCAAGAACCTTTCCCAGTGTAAGGGCACAACAGCAGCCAAGGGCAGACAGAGGGTGGGGGAAGGAGGCATACACCAGCGAACACTGAGGCTCCTGCACTGTGAAGCTGGGGCAAGGGAGGGAGCCAGGTGTCCTTTCTGCCACAGCGTCCCCCCCAGGTACACCCTCCCACCCCAATTCTCAGGAACAACCGCTCCTCCATTCCTTGTGATGTCAGCTGAAAGGAATTTTATCAAGAACCGATGAGACTTGTCCTCTGAATGTCAGTGTGTTACTTAGATACGATTATCTTTGTCATGGTAGTTTGGGTTTTGCCCTCTGCTACCAGCAATCATGCCAGAGAGCTGATTATATGAGCAGACAAAATATGCCTCCTACAGAGAGACAGCTGAGATTTCTCACAGAGAAAGATGGAGATGGACAGTGTGAGACTGAGCATAGGCTTTTATCTTTGGACATTCACACAAAACCACAAGCTGCTATCTTTACTTTCACGGACATTCCTCTCGGTGAACAGCAAGACCAGGCTTCTGGAGTGCGGGACCCCACGTGCATTTGCACCAGCTCCAGGCCCAGGGGGATCGGGCTGACCCCAGCACCCGGCTCGGCAACCCCTGAGGAAAGAACACTGCCCAGAACAGCAACAGTGAACAGCTTCAAACCTTACAGCTCTTCCCTTTGTCCTGCAGCAAAAGGCAGGAGGAGGGGAATGGACCTCGTCCAACTAAAATGATGACAAAGTTGTTCAGGGGCTGATCTTATCACATCTTTCATGTAAATCCTTTACGAGTGAATACAATGCTGCCAGTCATAAGTTTCTGCTGGTTCCAGTTTGGCAGGTCAAGCTGGTCCGGTGGAGGAGGGGAGATGACAAGCTGCTGTAGACAGCCCCCTCGCTCAACCCCACCCCATCCAAAAAGTACACATCGACAGTTTCAAGCTGACAAAGTCTTCTTGATTTTTTAAAAATGAAGTATATGTCTGGATTTCCTGTGTGTTTCCCACAGCTAGGAAATAATTTGATAGAAGGAAAGATTTTGAGTAGCGTAAGAATCAACATAAGAGTCGAGATAATAATTCAAAGAAAAAGTAGAGGATTATAAACCTCACATTGTATCACACTGAGGATAACTAAACAGATTTATGTTGTAGGTGCTGCCAAAGTGCTTCTAAGTGATCGCCTTCTAATACCAACATTCTTGATACTGATGTTGTGCTGGCACCATTTCGAGCTAACAGAAAGCTTGGTTAAAAATCCCATCGGGTAAGAAGCAAAGGCGTATTATTCCCCACAGGAAGGAGGGCAGAAGAAGGGATGTGGGAGATTTGGATGTGAAGCTGCAGAACACACCCACTGTCGGCTGCCAAGCTGATACGTGTTTAGATGACACAAGAGTGTGGATCGTGAAGTAAGAGCTAACGACCAAGGTGAAGGCAGAAGGGAGAGCCTCATCTTTAAGGTTTAACTTAAAGATTCTAGCTGTGTGGCAACCACCTGGAACCTTAATTAAAAAAAGAAAAAACTAGGTTTAACAATAGCAATCCCCTATAGGCGGGTTTTCAAATTATCAACATTCATCATTGTCAAGAGATTTGAATGGGAAAGGACGCTGGGGATGAGATAAGAGAGAGAAAGGAGATCCCACAAAGTTGATTCCTGAGAGCGAGCGAATACTGCTTGGAGACTAAACGATAAAGACAGAACACCTTGGCTCTGTCAGTGAACAGTAAGGTGAAAAGAATAAATCTAACCAATAACTCGGTGAGAGCAAAATCAAGAAACTCCATGTTTCTTCCCAGGCCGCCTTCAGGGGAACCTCAGGAGCAGCAGCCCAGCAGGGCCAGCCCCACCCCTGAGGAGCACAGGCTGCCTTAGGCAGAGAGGAAGCTCGTTCTGCCCCTCCCTCCAGCACGGTCTCCACGCGCCAGGGGCCATCCTGTCGCACTTCCCAGGACTATGCCACATTCTGCATGCTCTAAAGCCGCCTCATGACAAAGCGAAGGGTCCCCAGTTGTTTTACATACAGGGTCAAATCCTCTCAATGTTTCTCATGACAACGGCTTACACATGTGCAGAAGTCAGATTGTGCGCAGCTCCCATAAGTGGTTCCCACAAAACAAACAGGTGAGATATCTGCATTCTGCTGTTTCTCAAGGCTGTTTCCAAGAACCGCTCGGAGCGTGTGCCTACCTTGTCCACGTTGGCACGCGTCTTAGCCGACGTCTCCACGTACTGCACGCCCCACTCTTCGGCTTTACTCCTGGCCTCCTCGATGGGCACCTGCCTCCGCTCCTCTAAGTCAGACTTGTTTCCCACAACGAGCAGTGGGATTTTATCTTCCTCAGACTTGACACGGAGGATCTGCTCCCTGAGGCGTTACATCAAAAATACAACAGCTAAGAAAGCTAGTGTATAAACTCGGGTTTTGAGGACCCCCCTGAAATAAAAGGCTTTCCTAAGGCAGAAGAAGAAATTGCCACACTCGGGGCATGTTCCAAGGAAGCACTAGAGGCAGTGATAAACTAGACAAGTGTTTTCAAAGTCCGGCTCTCCGTCTGCCTGCATCAGAATCACCTGAGGTGCTCGTTACAAATGTAGATTTCCGGGCTCAACAGTCCTACAAAAATAGATGTCTGGACAGGAGCCCAGGATGCTGCATTCCAGCGGGGGCCCCAATTTACACTTACATACACAAGAAAAAGAAAAAAAAACCTGAATCTCTGGGATAAAAACAAGCTAAAAGAAGAATCACCATAAAATGCTTAATAATTCCCCTTTAAAAAACAGTGTGATTTCTCACTCTGCGAGGCCGAGGCGGGCGGATTGTTTGAGCTCAGGAGTTCGAAACCAGCCTGAGCAAGAGCGAGACCCCGTCTTTACTAAAAATAGAAAGAAATTAATTGGACAACTAAAAATATATAGAAAAAATTAGCCGGGCATGCTACAGGCGCATGCCTGTAGTCCCAGCTACTCGGGAGGCTGAGGCAGGAGGATCGCTTGAGCCCAGGAGTTTGAGGTTGCTGTGAGCTAGGCTGACGCCACCACGGCACTCTAGCCAGGGCAACACAGTGAGACTCTGTCTCAAAAAAAAAAAAAAAAAAACGGTATGATTTCTTTGTGACAGTAAAAGCTATGAAATCCAGTGTTTTTCATACGGAAGATGGCAGCCTATTAGTGGATCACAAAATCAATTTCATGGTCAGAATCTGTAGGGGTTTTTTTTCCCCAGTGAAACAGAATATTACAGACTAGAACAGAACAGAACCATCCAAGGTAATCTCAAATAGCAAAAGTATTGCTTTGTGAAACTTCGGTTTTGATTAAATCTCCATGACTCCCCCACTACACACACACACACACACAAAGTGTCCATTTAGACACAGTAAATGCTATAGGCCTGCGATCCCCAACCCCTAGGCCACAGAGCTCCACACCATCCCCCATGGAAAAACTGTCTTCCATGAAACTTAGGGGGGGGCGCACAGCAGGGCAGGCAAGCAAAGCTTCATCTGTATTTACAGCCGCTCCCCATTGCTCGCATCACCGCCTGAGTTCCATCTCCCCCCCGCCCGCCCTCCATCTGTGGGCAAACTGTCTCCCATGAAACTGGTCCCTGGTGCCAAAAAGGTTGGGGACCGCTGTCAACAGAATAGGGACAGATACCTTTGGCAGTAATCACATTTCAATGGACATTATTTTTCTACTACAAAGAAGAAAAAAATGAAAGGAAAGGAAATACTCCAAGGCCTATGGAAAAGTACTTCAAAAATGTCTTCTCTAAAAATACCCATTAACCTCTACTAAAAATAATCATCTATTCAAAAGTATTAATCAAGATGAAATATTTGAAAAAATCGATTAAACATTACACTTCCATTACTTTGGTCCAATGTGGACATTTCTACTTCTACATTTCAATACATTTCAAAGAGTCCCCTTCAAAAAAATGTATTTTGTAGAGATCTGCATTGATTTTTACATGATATAGGGTAACATTTCACAATAATAAAATTTTTTTTTAAATTTCCATACAGACAATTTAAGTACCAGATATCAAATATTTTAAGACAGACACAAAGAAGAAAAGATACTTGAAAATTGAACCCTACATTTGAATAGGGGGCTAAAACCATGACACATTTATAAATTATGTGATCAATATAAACTATGAACAATAAAAACTCATAGCTTTTTGGTTCATTAGCCTTGCAGAGGCATGTAAAATTAGCTCATTAATAAACATACTGATCCAAAAATGAGAGCACAGAGTTCTGGCCTCTTGTGGCAAGCCTATTTATCTTAGTTCATGAAATATCGTCCAGAAAAAGTGTCCAGGAAGACAGCATATTAACATTTGGCTTTATGCTGGGGCTTTCCCATTTGAAACATACATACAGAAATGCTGTGTTTTAAAACTGCCAACAGGCATAAAGTAAAGTGACTGAGTTAACCACACGGGCTCAGATAATCTACCTGCATTCTTCTGCTTCCAATAGCAGGAGAAACCTGGGCAGCCTGGGACTTTTATTTAAATGTCCAGAGTTCAAGTCAAGAGAATTAACTTCCCCTTCTTTTTTGCTTTACGTATTCATTTGCTCTTTTTCTCGTAAGGATCCCCCTTTTCACATAACAACCAAAACCCTTTCCAAGACGAGACACTGCCGCGACTCTAAGAACGCGTGGATAGCATCCGTGCGCACGTGGTGAGGGGAGAGGACAAGGGACACTCACTGTCTATGCCCTGGATGGGACTGTCCTGTCCAGTACTTCCTTCCTGGTGAGTCACAGAGCAAAGCGGAATCGAAAGGCTCAGTCCAGGGATGAGAATGAGAGAGTGTGCACATCTGTCCTGTTTTATTCTCAAGGAGGCACAAACACAGGACTATGTAGATACACAATTATAAATACATGAGCTGTATTCAAATATGGAAACCTCTAGGGATATCTGAAAAGTCTAAAAATTAATAGGACTTCTCATAATGAGCCCTGGTCATCTAACCGATCACCACATGTGCACTATACTTCCAGAGAACTGAGGGACTCGGTGCGTTGAAGACTGAAAACTCCGCAGCGTGACAGCTGAGGCACTACCTGAGCGCCTCCCACTCGCTCTGCTGCTTCACCTGCCGCACCTCTCGAGGCCTCCCTGGCTCACTGACGCATCCTTATAAATCTTGGGGACATATTTAGCTTCCTCATTTTTGCCTTTGGCTGATCACCTTACTTTCTAACCAGAACTTGCTAAAGAGTGAAAAAATTACTGGTTGTTTTGATTCGGGTTTCCTTTTTAGTTCTCCATTAGACTCTAGATCTGCTTTCTTTCTTTTTAGACATGGTCTCGCTTGGTTGCCTGGGCTAGAGTTAGATCTGCTTCTTAAAATAAAAAGTCATCTGGATAGGTATGTTTATAGGAGAGTAAATTAAAAAAAAACAAAACACAATTGTGTAAGAGAAACAGGAAGGGTGTGGAGTAAAGAGAAAATTACAAAGAAGATAAGAATTATGCCCAAAAGGTTATTTCTTTATAACAAAATGAACTTAAGGTATCTTTAACTGCCACATTTTAAAATGAACGATAGCAGTGAATATTCTACTCACTATGTAAGTACCATGTGCCCGCACTGGGATAGGGTCTGGGGACACGATGTAGGGTAGCCAAGGTTCCTGCCCGCATGAACTTCACAGTCTAACTCATCATCATGTCATGTCATTTTTCAACAACTACATTTTCAGAGAAAGAAACAGAATCCTGATGCTGAGTAAACTCGCCCCTGGTCACAAAGCCAGCAAGTGGTATGACAAGGATTCAAACTAGGTAAAGCCACACTCTCTCCCCTTCACGATGCTAAAAGTCCTTACAGGAAGTGGTAAATGGTCATTCTGACTCATACCTCTCACTCTCCTGCCAATGCTTCATGAACCTCAAAATAGATCAAAATTGTTACTTCTGTAGTAAAATGATAAAAAAGATAAAGACAGTTAACTCTTATCCATCACTGTCTCTCAGGATTTATATGAACAAAATTATAGCTTCTTGAGTATATGGAATAGCTTCATCCTTTTTCAGAAATAACAACATTCTTAAAATAATTTATATTTAGAAATCACAGAATAGGGAAACCCAAAGAGATTACAACAATGATGGACTATAATGTGCCAAGCTTCAGAAAGCCCCAAAAAATTCTTTAGACAGAATTCTTCCTAATAACATACTCAACTCTCTACTGCTATGCTCAGGCCCAAATTCCTTCTAAGACATATGAAAAAAAGGCTTTAGCTCTTTCATTTCAAACATACCTGAATTCGGCAGTTGCTGTGAAGGACTCATGTTCTGTGATTGAGAACACTAGCAGAAAGCCTTCCCCACTCCGAAAGTAGTTGTCTCGAATCGCTGCATAGTCCTCCTGTCCAGCAGTGTCTAGAATATCTATCTGGACTTCTTCTCCATCAAGAACTACTTTCTTTCTATAACTGTCAGCTTTGGTAGGTTCATAGTCTTCTACAAACTGAGGAAATAAACAACAATATCAGTAATTAACAGAGTCTTAAGGGGAATAAAATCTGCCAAAAAATAAAATTCAGTACATGGGTACTTTGCCTACAATCAACCAAGTATTCATTGAGTGTCTATAATTATCACACTATGTATAAGGCACTATAAAATAAGAATAACATTTTATATAACACTTCAGTTCTTTACAGTTCTCGGTTCTACCATTTTTTATTTTGTTTTTAAACAATAGGGGCAGATGAGGAAACCAGGCACAGAGCACAACATTTGGCAATATTATTGTCAGTAAAAAATTATAAAACAAACACAGGCACAAGTGAGAAACGGGAGTTCTTATTCATAATCAACAGAAGTATAAAACCCATCTGGAAAGTAATTTGGCAAGATGTACTAAGAGTCTTAAATAATTATACAACACGACAAACTCCAAATGGGTCAAAGATTATATGTAAAAAAATAAAACCACTGAAGTACTAGAAGAAAATGTGAATGAAACCTTTTTACCATCTTGAAGTAGGCAAGGCCTTTTTAACTGACTCAAAATTCAAAAGCCACATAAGAGCTGATAAACCAGGCTACAACAAAAAGAAACAAACAAACAAAAACTTATATATGGCACAAAGACAAATGACAAACTGGGGAAAAATATTTGAGCCCATTATCAAGAAGAACTAATCTCTTTAATATATAAAAAGTTCCCAGAAACAGAAAAAAAAAAAAAAGTCAACAATCCAATGCGAAAAAGTGGGCAACAGATACAAATAATTCACAGAAACACAAATACACATATCAAACATACAAAAAGATGTTCATATTTACTAATACAGAAGATGAAAATTAAAACTACATTGAGACACAGGGATACCTTCTTGGAGATGTTGCAGGTTCAGTTCCAGACCACCACAAAAAAGCAAATATTGCAACAAAGCAAGCCACATAAGTTTTTGATTTCCAATTGCATACAAAAGTTATGTTTACACTATACCATGGTCTATTAAATGTGTAATAGCATTTTGTCTTAAAAAACAATGTACATGCCTTAATTTAAAAATACTTTATTGCTAACAAATGCTAATGATCATCTGAGCCATTAGCAAGTTATAGTCTTTTTGCTGGTGGTGGGTCTTACCTCGATGTTGATGGTGCTGACTGATCAGAGTGGTGGTTGCTGAAGGCTGGGGTAGCTGTGGTAATTTCTTAAAGTAAGACAATGAAGTTTGTAACACCCATTGACTCTTCCTTTCACGTAAGATTTCTCTGTGGCATGCAATTTTACCCACAGAACTTCTTTAAAAATTGGAGTCAATCCTCTCAAACTCTGCTGCTGCTTTATCAACTAAGTTTGTGTAATATTCTAAATTCTTTGCTTTCATTTCCACAATATTCACAGCATCTTCACCAGGACTAGATTCTATCCAAGAAACCACTTTCTTTGCTCATCCATAAGAAGCAATTCCTCATCCATTCAAGTTTTATCATGAAATTACAGCAATTCAGTCACATGTTCAGGCTCTGCTTCTAATTCTAGTTCTCTTGCTATTTCCACCCCAGTTGCAATTACTTACTCCACTGAAGTCTTGAACCCCTTGAAGTCATCCATGAGGTAGGAACCAACTTCTTTCAAATTCCTATTAATGTTGCTATTTTGATATCCTCCCATGAATCATGAATGTTCTCAATGGAAACTATAGTGAATCCTTTACAGAAAGTTTTCAATTTACTTTGCCCAGATCCATCTGAGGAATCACTATCTATAGCAGCTATACCCTTGAGAAATATATTTCTTAAATAATAAGACATAAAAGTCAAAATTACTCCTTGACCAGGGCTGCAGAATGAATGTTGTTAGCAGGTATGAAAACAACATGAATCTCCTTGAACATGTCCATCAGAGCTCTTGGGTGACAAGGTGCATTGTCAATGAACAGTAATATTTTGAAAGGATTCTTTTTTTTTTTTTTTTTTTTGAGACAGAGTCTCACTCTTTTCCCCGGGCTAGAGTGAGTGCCGTGGCATCAGCCTAGCTCACAGCAACCTCAAACTCCTGGGCTCAAGCAATCCTCCTGCCTCAGCCTCCCAAGTAGCTGGGACTACAGGCATGCGCCACCATGCCCGGCTAATTTCTCTATATATTTTTAGTTGTCCAATTAATTTCTTTCTATTTTTAGTAGAGACCGGGTCTCGCTCTTGCTCAGGCTGGTTTTGAACTCCTGAGCTCAAACAATCCGCCCGCCTCGGCCTCCCAGAGAGCTAGGATTACAGGCGTGAGCCACCGCGCCTGGCCTGAAAGGATTCTTTCCTTCTGAGCAGGAGGTCTCAATAGTGGGCTTAAAATACTCAGTAAACCATGCTGTAAATAGACGTGCTATCATTCAGGCTTTGTTCTTCCATTTATAGAGCATAGGCAGAGTAGATTTAGCATCTACCATTAGCCAATGGTAAATAAGCATTGGCTTCAACTTAAAGTCACCAGCTACATTAGCCCCTAATAAAAGAGCCAACCTATCCTTTGAAGCTTTGAGGCCAGGCATTGACTTGCTCCTCTCTAGCTATGAAAGTCCTACAGGGCATCTTCTTCCAATAGAAGGCTATTACAGCTACCTTGAACATCTGTTGCTTAGTGTAGCCACCTTTACTGATGATCTTAGGTCTTCTGGCTAACTTGCTGCAGCCTCTACATCAGCACTTGCTATTTCATGTTGTACTTTATGTTATGGAGATGGCTTCTTTCCTTAAACCTCACGAACTGACTTCTGCTAGCTTCAAACTCCTCTTCTGCAGCTTCCTCACCTCTCTCAGCCTTCACAGAACTGAAGAGAGTTGGGGCTTTGCTCTGGATTAGGCTTTGGCTTAAGGGAATATAGTGGCTGGTTTGACCTTCTATCCAGACCACTGAAACTTTCTCTATACCAGCAATAAGGCTGTTTTTCTTTCTTATCATTCATGTGTTCACTGGAGTAGCACTTTTAATTTCCTTCAAGAACTTTTCCTTTGCATTCATAACTTGGCTTAACTGGCATAAGAGGCCTAGCTTTCAGTCTATCTAGGCTTTCAACATGCCTTCCTGACTAATCTTAATCATTTCTAGCTTTTGATTTAAAGTGAGAAACATGCAACTTTTCCTTTCACTTGAACACTTAGAGGCCACCGTAGGGTTATTAAATTGGCCTAATTTCAATATTGTTATGTCTTGGGAAATAGGCCCGAAGCAAGGGAGAGAGATGAGTGGGGGTGGGGCAGGCGGCCTGCTGGTCAGTGGAGTAGTCAGAACATGCAGGACGTGTATTGATTAAGCTCACCATCTTAGATGCGCACGAGTCGTGGTGCCCCAGAACAATTACAACAGTAACACCAAGGATCACTGATCACTATTACAGATATAATAATGGAAAAGTTTGAAATATTGTGAGAACTACCAAAATGTGACACAGAGACAAGAAGTGAGCAGGTGCTGTTAGAAAAACAGTACTGATAGAAGACCTGCTCGATGCAGGTTGCCACAAACCTTCAGTCTTTAAAAAAACGCATTATCTGTGGTACATGATAAAGTGAAACATGATAAGATGAGGTATCCCTGCACCATTTTTCACCTATCAGGCTGGAAAAAAATCCAAAAGTCTAACAACATACTCTGGGGAAAAGGAACTCTAGTGCATTGCTAGTGGGAGCAGAGAAAAGGACACAATCTATGGAAAGGAATCTGGCAACACCTGGAAAATGAGAGAAGCACTTATCTCTGTCCCAGCCATCCACTTCTAGGAATCCAATCTATAGAAACACCTGCACACGAACATACAAGGTAATTCATTGGGGCACTGTGTGGAACAGTAAAAGATCAAAAACGTTCCAGATGCTCAGCTTAGGGATCCACATAGCTACCACGTAGCTATAAAAAAATGAGGAAGATACCTGTGTTTGGATATGTAGAGATCTCCAGAATTTAACAGTCTACCTTTTGCATAAGGAAAGTAGAAAGAGTGAAGTTTTATTAATATATATTACTTATATACACATACATATATATTTTTATAGCTACATAGTACTCCTATGTGCGTGTGCGCACGCATGTGCACGTGTGTGTATTTGCCAAAAAGATACCCTGGAGGGAACAAACCAAGCAAATGTAAAGCTGCTAGAAAAACTGAAGTAAATAGCATAACTGAATATTAAATTGGTAATGAAGCTAAAAAGAAAAAGAATTTAACTAATGCAAGACACTTTAGAACAGAGTATTTTAATAGAATGCATCTCACTTAAAAAGACTAAGGACAAAGAAATTTCAAAGTAATGCTAAACTTACCTCAGTGGTTATACTATTTAGTAACAATGATATTAATATTTCAAAGCTATTTTCTTTATATTGTGTTGTATATCAAATAAGTACTCTCAGAAATCAAAGAATCCAGAAAAAAGCAAATTAATGACAACCATGTACCATTAAAATTGAACTGGTGCTGGTATAACCGGATACCCCCATGCAAAAGCATGTATTTGGGCCCCCACTTCTTACTACACACAAAAATTAACTCAAAGTGGATCAAAGATCTAAATGTAAGAGCTAAAACCATAAATTCTTAGAAGAAAACATGGGTGTAAATCTTCATGACCTTGGACTTACCAATGGATTCTTAGTTATGACTCCAAAAACACAAACCTGACAAAAGAAAAAATTGGTATCTGGACTTCTTAAAAAATTAAAAACTTTCATGCTACAAAGGACATCATCAAGAAAGTGAAAAGACAACACGGAGAATGGGAGAGAATATTTGTAAATTATGTCTATTAGTGGACTTGTATCCAGAATATATAAAATCTCTTAAAACTCAACAATAAATAACCCAACTCAACAAATAACCCAATTAAAAATTAGGCAAAGGATCTGAATGAACAATTCTCCAAAGAAGATATACAAATGGCCAATATGCATATGAAAATATGCTCAACATCATTGGTCATTAGGGAAATGCAAATTAAAACCACAACGAGGGCCAGGCA